AGTATATAAGACTGAAGGATGGCAACCCCAGTTCTTATGTTTTTAAGTGCCGTTCCTCTCCTCCTCCTCCTCCTCCTCCTCCTCGTCTTCTTCGAACATTCTAGCATCTTTTCTCCTCCATTTTCCTATTGTGTGTAGTATTTTCCTTTGGCCTTATCACCTTCCATGTACTAGGGAAATCAGTTCTAGCTATGTCATGGATGCTGAAAATTGTGTTTGTTTTAATAATGAGGTTTTGCTTAAAAATATTGTATTATATTCTTTTGGGGGGGTCTTTGGTTTGGGGATTTTTTTTTTTTTGAGACAGGGTTTATGTGTAGCCCTGACTGACCTAGAACTCACTCTGTAGTGCAGGCTGGCCTCGAACTAAGAAATCCACTGTTGGAGGTTGGTCTGACGCTTATATTTTGATGCTAATTACTGGCACTCAAGATGTGGTTAGTGCCTGGATTCACCTATCCTTGTCGTATAAACCTACCTGATTGGCTGATTGAAAGGCATACCTGGGCAGGACAGATTGGGGTAGGTGTGGTAAGATTCCCAGGCTTTTGAGGACAGGAGAATCACAGGAGAGAGACAGATGGGAAGAGAGGAGGAAGGAGAATGCCACAATGGGTTAGCGTAGAAAAGAAAACACGTGGGGCAGGGAGGAAGGACTCCAATAACGATGTGGAAAGGCCTAGATAAAGAATGCAGGTAAGTATTTATAAGATTATGGATGGAAGAAGCACAGATGAGGATGGTTAAGGCAGATGGCATTGGATGGGGGCTGGGAGGTGGATGGTGAGGTTATTGAGATAGTATAGGCAGAAATATCTGCCCAGTCCAAGGTAAATAAGGCAATTATAACATTTAACAGGTGTCTGTGCCTTATTAATTGTGATAGCTGGTTAAATAATACCACCCAGACAATAATAGGGCTAATAATAACATTATATAGCCCAACACCATTTTTATTTACAACAAGAATCCACCTGCCTCTGCCTCTCAGGTGCTGGGATTAAAGGTGTATACCACCTCCTACATGGCCTGAAGGACTGTGTGTTTCTTACTCAGAAACAGTGTTCCATTTTTATTTCACTTTAAATCACTGAAAGCCTCAAGCTTCCGAGTTTTAGTGTGTACAGTCTGGCATCCAACTCTGTCCTTTCTCCCAAGAGACATAGAATGTTTCCCCCAGTAATGTACAAGGCTTCTGTAGCCATGACCCCTAGGTGGGACAGCTACCCAGGGCTCTGCCCACTCCTGGTTATGATTTCCATCTCCCAGTGGCTCATACTCAGACATTTCAACATAACTTACCAGACCATTTGTAAAAAGAACTGCAGCCCCTCCTCTCACTTCTGAGAAAACTTCACACAAGATTGCTCTGATGGCGAACGGCCCGGGGTTTCAGCGCAGTTTCCTCCTGACCCCTGTGTAAGCAAGAACCCAGGAATGAGTGTTTTCTTTCTCCCTCGCTTTCTGCTCCAGCAGCGAGCTTGCAACCTATGCCTAGAAGCTCATCTTCAAGGACAGAACTCCGTGGATAAGGAACAGGTTTGCACCCGCTCATAGCTTCCCTGACATCTAAACACAGCCCCGAGTCACACACAGAACTACAGCTGCGGCACTTCCATACATTGAAGTGCTTGGCCTCAAGTGCTCCTTCTCCATGCGTTGAAAGGGTTCTCCTCGAGTGCTCCTTGTCTTTCTGCCTCATCAATAAACTTGCTAACTGCTTCCCTAACACCGGATCTAAAATTCTTTTCTGCCGTAGACGTTAAGGACCCCTCAAGGCTGAAAGGTCTCCTCGGGCTGCACTGCCAGCAACATCGAATACGGTTTCCTATTGCTAGTAACAAACCCTCCATCCTTCGCTGCTTCCTCCCTCCTAGAAGGCAAGGATTCAAGGACAAGCTGGTATAGGAAAATGATGTCATTGGAAAGCTTGAAAACCAAAGAGGATGCAGGCTATCACCAGCAGAAACCATCTTGCCTCAGGGTTCCCGGTACAAGGTCTACTTATGAGACTGGGGGAGCCGGGGCGTGGGGGGCGCTGCTTTTCTGACGGGCTGGTTGCTGCTTCTGAAAGTTGCTGGATGTTCCCTGTTCTGTGAATCGAAGGAAAAGTTACTGATGAGAAAAGTCTTATGACACATATCGTCTTAATTTTTTTTCTGCCAGAAACAGTTGGTTGGTTCTGCGGTTGGTTTTAAGATACAGAAGGTGGGAGGCTGGAAGGATGGCTAAGCGTAGTTCTTTGAACACTTGCTGCTTTTGTAGAGGACTCAAAGCCAGCTCCCAGCACCTGCATCTGGCCGGCTCACAACCACCTGTAACTAGTTCCAGAGGATCTGACGCTGCCTTCTGGCTTCTGGGGTCACTTCAGCAAAGCCAATCAGTTTATTCATCCATTGTCACACACTAAACACTCCACATTACTGGGCCTCTTTCTGGGCTTTCAGTTGTGCTTTACAGCTGTTTGCTCACAGTTTTAACCTCTGTACTTTCGTCGCTGTGGTAGTTTGAATGAAAATGGCCTCATGAGCTCATAGGGACTGGCACTGTTGGGAGGTATGGCCTTGTTGGAGGAAGTGTGTCACCTGGGATGGGTTTTGAGGTCTCGGATGCTAAAGCTTGGCCAGCAGATCACTGTCTCTTCCCGCTGCCCGCAGATCCAGATGTAGAACTCTCAGCTCCTTCTCCAGCACCATGTCTGCCTGAGTGCCACCATGCTTCCCACCATGATGACAATGGACTGAACCTCAGAAACTGTACGCCAGCTCAATTAAATGTTTTCCTTTGTAAGAGTTGCCATGGGCATGGTGTCTCTTCACAGCAATAGAAACCCTAACTATGACAATTACTTTGTCTTGTTTTATTCCTGTACTGGTGATTGAACCCAGAGCCTCACATACACTACGAGGGCGCTTTACCACCAAGCTACATTCCCCACCTTCTTTTTGCTCAGGTTCTTACTAAATTGCCCAGGGCTGGTCTTGAACTCATTCTGTAGCCCGAGCAGGACTTGAACTGGTAATCCTCCTGCCTCGGCCACTCAAACAGTTTGGCTCACAGGCTTATATCATAGGTTCTGGCTAGCTCCATCAGCACTAAGGTCTATTGAAATCCTCTTTCATAGTAAGGTTTCAACAGCTTCTTCCTGGACGCATCATCATTGGTACCCAACTGGGGCAAAATTACAATATTCATCTATGGTCTCTAGAAAGGGGAAAACTTTAGAAGCCTCACATAAGGCAGTGGAATAAAGAAAGAGCTTTAGAATCACAAGACAAGGGTCAAATGTAGGCATCTCACCCATACGTTTGCCCGGGTAAGTTGAGTGACCCCATCAGGTCCCTACTTTATCTGCTGGCTGATGCAGCAAATGTGAAAATTAAAAGCCTGGGATATCTGACAGTAGATATGGTATCTGTGACATTCCCAGCTCTTTGTGTTCCCTCCATACTGTGGCACAAAAAGAAATTCAAGTCTCTCCGTACAAACAAATGCTCATTTCATCATAGAAAGCCCTGGGATTGGGGTGGATGAAGCCCTGGCTGGAGTGAGGCAGGCTGGGGTTCAAGTGCTAAGACACACACCGCAGTATCAGAGCAGTCCAGGGATTCTGGCTGCCATCTCCTAGCTTGGGGCATTCAAGAAAGTCCCCGTGTCTTGCTGGGCTTCTGTTCCACCTCCATCACTGTATAAGGTTACTGTGACTTTAAATGTGGAAGAACCATAAAAGGCGCCCATCTAGCACATGCCAAAGTAATGGAGTGCTTCGTGTATGTAGTACAGAAAGGGCTAAACTTGTACATCCACTGCCTCAGATCTAAGCCTCATCTTTGGAGCCCACCCCACCCTCCCATGCTGGATCCATCCCCTCCCTGTTTTAAAAGTCTTTTTCAAAACTGATAGCCAAAGTCTCTATGCTTAGGAAGCATCATAATGCAAGGAGAGACAGAAGATGGGCTGGAGAGAGTGGGAAGCTAGCTCTGTGTGTTACACTACTCGGCCTGATTGCTGAGCAAGTGAACAGCATATGTGCATAAGGGAGAAAAAAAAAAAAACACACTCAGCAGGTAGAGCAGATGCTGGGCTTGAAGGAGCAAGCCTGGAGCAAAGAAGTGCTGCAGGGGTCCTGGTGAGATGTCACAGGAGCCACAGGAGCAGTGGGCCAGGAAGAAAGAGAAATCAGTGACATTTGGATACTGCAGTGAAGGGCAGGGCAGGAGTTATAAGTCATGTATTTGAGCTAGAAGAAAAGTCTGGAGCTTTCTTTGTCCCTGTTCCATAACCTGCACCTTCTCTCAACTTAAATGTCACCTCCTCTGATAGGCTATTCCTGGCTATCCTATCCATGCTGATGAACTCTTCCAAAACAGCAACTCCTAGTGTGCACAGGCCAGCCTGCAGTGTTGTGAGACCCAAGAAAGACGCAGGCAGATGAACTGGAGAGTACAGTTTATTGGAAGATGACTCATTGATAAATGTATCGTCATGGGAGACAGCAAACCCAACTGGTTCCCACCATATGGGTCAGAAAGAGAATGTGTCTGCCCCTCAGACTGTAAATTGTCAAGAACAGGGGCAGGACCATTTCAAATGCAAGCCTAGTGGGTGGCCTGGAACATAACATCCAATTGAAAAATCATCCTGTTGAATGATGAATGAATGAATGAGGCCCAGCAAGGAGGCTGGTAGAACAGATTATTAGGATATCCATTTGCAGCATGACCAGAAGTTCTCCAGGGTGCAGCAGGAGACACAGGCTGGGTCTCTGGCAGTCCTCTCAAGTCGGGACCCTAGCCAAGGGCCAGAGAATGCCTAGGCAGGGTCAACAGAATGTCCAGCCAGAGAATTATCCCAGGCACTTTATGTGTGCATGTGCATTTCCTTGAACACACGTGTCGTTCTGGAAGCCCAAGAGCGCCTCAGGTGTTGGGCGCTAGCCACCTGATTGTTTTGTTTTTGGAGATAGTCTCTGGTTGGCCTGGACTCAACATGTAAGTTGGACTGACAGGCCACACAGTCCCAAGGATCTTCCTGTCTCCATCTCCCCCACGCTGGGATTAGAAGCGTTTCCCCACGGGTTCTGGACATGAGCTCAAGTTCTCAAGCATTTTACCAACTGAACCATCCCCATCCCTAGGAGCCCTTGTTCTGCACTCAAAACTCAAATTTCTCAGCTCCTAGCCCACACTGGATCCGAACCTGTGTGCACAGCATGGTCCCCGAAGGAGCTGAGATGGCAAGCACCCAAATCAAGAGAAGCGCGTGCGTAGTGGGAAAAGAGGCAAAGGGCTGTGAGAGTGACTCTCAGGACAGTTGTCAGTATGCAGGCCAAGAGGTAAAATCTGGCGCCCTGAGGCTAGGGACCTTTGGCTACACTTGGCCTCCAGCCTAAGAAAACTGCCTCGCTCCTCCCCGCAGTTCTGTCCTTCTATTGGTCGATGCGTCTGTCTGTCATTCCACCTCGACCAATGGGATAGGTGAGGCATCGGAAGCCAGAACCGGAAGTGAGGCGGGGGCCGCTCCGGTGGTGTCTCTCGTTAGCAGCTGTTGCGGGTTGTCATGAGAGGCTTCGGGCCAGGCCTGAGGGCTCGGCACCTGCTCCCACTTCGGTACCCGCCGCGGCCGCCGGGGCCTCGGGCGTCTAGGCCGTGCAGCGGGCTCACGGCCGGCGCCATGGACGAGCTGCTGCGGCGAGCCGTGCCTCCCACGCCGGTCTATGAGCTGCGCGAGAAGACGCCGGCGCTCGCCGAGGCGCAGTGCGTCGACTTCGTGAGCTTCTACGGCGGCCTGGCCGAGGCGGCCCAGCGTGCCGAGCTGCTCGGCCGCCTGGCGCAGGGCTTCGGAGTGGACCACGGCCAGGTGGCCGAGCAGAGCGCCGGGGTGCTGCAGCTGCACCAGCAGTCGCGCGAGGTGGCCGTGCTGCTGCAGGCCGAGGACCGGCTGCGCTACGCGCTCGTGCCGCGCTACCGCGGGCTCTTCCATCACATCAGCAAGCTGGACGGCGGCGTGCGCTTCCTGGTGCAGCTGCGGGCCGATCTGCTGGAGGCGCAGTCCCTCAAGCTGGTGGAGGGGCCGCACGTCCGGGTAAGGCCCCGCCCGGGCCAGCGCGACCCCAAGGTCCCCGACACCACCTCGGGGCCCTGTCCCTTCCTTCCCGCTTTCCAAGCCCCTGCAACCCTCCAGCCCCACCTCGCCGGCTTCAGGAACACAGTGCTTACTGCGTGGTATGTAGCACTACCCTCGGGCTGACTGCCAGGTCACCCACTGCGCTTACTCCAAAGTAGCTCTGGTTTTAACTGCGCTGAACAGAGATGGAGCACGGCACTGGGCAGAGTTTCGCCACCCGTCCCAAGCGCGGCATTGCCCTAACAGGTTACATGAAATGCACAAAGATGGCCAGAAGTAGAGGTCACCACCGTCTGAGTTTCCGAAGCCTCCAGCCGCCTTCCTGCAGTGCAACTCTGCACTGGAGATGTGACTCCGTGCTCAGCCCTAGAAGTAGTGATTCTAAGTTTACTTTGTAGTGCTTGAGTTAGTCAGCTGCTTACCCAGCGAGATCATGAGATCATGTAGCGTACAGATAATGGATGTTTACAATAGCTTTGACCAAAAAGATTTCTTAGTGTTGCTGCCAGCTCTTTATGCTGTTAATATTCGATAGTGGGGAACACTCACCTGAGTTCCTGCATAATGATACCACCTTTTCAGAAGTTCTTGCCATTCAAAGCTTCGTGTACTTTTTCAAAGCCAAACAGTATGATTCTCTGGTTGTGACCCGATTAAGAACTCTAAAACAGGCATGACAGTTTTGACTTCCATCTGTCTCCTGTACAGTGAAGGACATAGTATGCCAAGGTGATGAGTTGCCCCAGACCTCAGAGCAAGTACATACATGTCTTTTGACACCTGTCCCAATCCGGGCTTTTTTACACTGCCCACAACCCTACTATGGAAGGATTTACCTGGCCCTTTCTTCTTTTGGTTGCTTAGCTTTGGGTGTCGTTAAGGGGTTAATATGAGTGACAACAATGCATATGACCAGATTTTTCAAGATAGCTGGTTTATTTCCAAGGCTGTGTTACCCAGGACTGAGAAACCTCAGATGTTCATTGGGTATTACAAAATCTGTCTTGGTTTCTATGATACCTTGTTTCAGGCTTGGTGGCAGTCTGAGTGGCTGCTCTTTTGTATTCCGTGCTCTGTGGTGTTCAAAATGTCCCCACACAACTATACGATAGTTCTTTGAAAACTGGAACCTTGTTGTAAATCTCCCACAGTGAAATGATGCCTGAATCCTGGAGATAGGCTCCAGGGAGGCAGATGTTTTTGAGGCCAGAGTGCTTCATGTCTGACCCCAGACTAGAACTAGAAAGATCAGGAAATGCCAGAAAGACCCACGACCAGCCGTGCACATACACAAAGTGGCCTTGGATAGCTTCTAATGCCCCATCCAGTTTCAGAGTCTGATTCCGGGAGTTCCTTTACCAGCTAGAGCTCATCCTGGGCACTGACACTATAACATTGAGACCGACTTTGGGGCGGAGCTTGCCTCTGGCAATCAGAAGCGAGCCACCTGCTCAGACAGTATGCATCCAAGTTCCCTTGCTTTTTAGACATGATTGTCCTCCACATAAGGGAGAAAGGCACTGCCGGACAGAAGTCGTGAATGAGTCTTAGAGGTATTTGCCAGCAGAGGCAGAATGCTCACAGCCTGACCTTTGCCTTTCTACATGGCAAACTCTTTGAAGTTCTGTGTGTTTTCTCCACCCAGTTCCTAGGCTGATTGTCATGTCTAACTACGAAGTTGAGTCAGTCAGTTGCTTTATTCCTCTCCCTCACACCTGTCAGTCAGGATTTGGTGTTTTCACCTATCACTAGAAGAACTGAGGAGTGGGCATATACATGCATGCTCGTGCCCAGGTAAGACAGAGGTCAACTTGAGTGTCATCCTCAGAGGCTGTCCCACCTTAGATTTTGAGGCAGGGTCTCTCACCGAGACCTGGGACTCACCAGTTAGATTACTGCTCAGTAAGCCCCAGAAATATTCCTGTCCCCCCTTCCCAGTGCCAGCTAACAAAGTGCACCACTGCGCTGGCCTTTCTTTTAAAGATTGTGTGCACCCGTGTTTTGCTTGGGCGAATGCGTGTGCACCGTGTGCATGCAGGGCCTCTACAGGCCGGAAGAGGGACTCATGCCCTGGGACTGAAGTTGCCCCAGTTGTGAGCTGCCATGTGGATGCTGGGAACCAGACTCAGATCCACTGCAAAATCAGTCAGTGCTAACGTCTGAGCTGTCTGTCCATGTTCCCCTACCCAACCCCCACCCACCCACACTTCTAAAACACTGGTGCTAGGGATCAAACTCAGGAAAGCTCTTAATTGATTGAGTTATCTCCTTAGCCCTGCATAGTCTCTTTGTAAAGACAGACCACTTTGAGAGCAGTTTTAAGATCAGCAAACCTGAGTGTGAGGTACATATTCCCCATTACCGTACACCCAAAAGGTGCCACTGTTAGGTGTCCTGTAACTTTGGTGTGCAGGCTTTAGAGATGGCTGTGCAGGCCCCTATGGCCTTGTTTGTCTGTTTGCTTACTTGCTTTTTCAAGACTGAGTTTCTCTGTGTAGCCCCAGCTGTCCTGGAACTCACTGTGTAGACCAGGCTGGCCTCAAACTCAGAGCTCCGACTGCCTCTGCCTCCCAAGCTGAGATTAAAGGTGTGTGCCGCCGCCACCACCACCACGTGGCTCTGGGGCCTTCTTAAATGATGTGTCTTCTTAGGAAGTATCCCAGTTTGCTTTCCTTTGCTGTGACAACATTCTGACCAAAGCAACTTGAGGAGAAAAACATCTACTTGGTTTATAGGTTCCAGACCATCATGGAAGGAAGCCAGGGCAGGAACATGGAGATGGGAATGGAAGCAGAGATCATGGAGGATGCTGCTTTCTGACTTGCTCAGCTACCTATGTTAACACTGTCCAGGCCCAGCCTGCCCAGAGGAAGCACTGCCCACCATGGGCTGGGCCCTCCCATATCAATCAATCATCAATCCAGAAAATATCTCCTCAGTGGAGTTTCCCTCTTCCGAAGTGTGTCAAGTTGACAACTGGAGCTAACTAGGACAGGAATGTGCTCACTGCCGAGTGGCCCCAGATCTCAGAACTACTGGTTGTCAGCTGTGCAGCTTGCCTGGACCCTGTATGACCTTTCTGTTTTCTGGACACTTGGCTACAGACAGAGAGCTGCTCTGAGCTTGCTCCTGAGGTCTCCCACCATGTGGGTTCAGGTCTGTGTGTGTTGGGCCCTGGGTGGTGCCGTTACCTTAGCATAAGTAGCAGACGACAGCCCCCAAACACATGCAGATTCCACGTGTTTCCCAGGATGGAGCAGAAGTTCTGAATGAGGAGTCTGCTCCTGCCATTGTCTGCGTGGCATGGTTTACACAATTTTACCAAAGTTCCTTAACTCCATGGGATTCTTGGGCCATTGAGGTGAGCTATTGGCAGATGCTGATCTCAGGGGAGCAGAGGTCAGCTGCATAATAAGCCAACCTGGGCTACATAAGACCATCTCAGAAAACCAAAGTGCTAACCCATAGAAAAGAACATGAAAAGATTATTCAGTGTGGGGACTAATAAAATCCCCAAAGCAGTGTTACCATGCCAGGAAAAGTTCCTCTTGGTCACAAGTAAAACAGTATTGTTTAAAACAAACCAAAAATCTGCTGAATTCAAAGCTCTTGCTGTGCTTGGTTTGGTGATCTTTCTGGAGATGGGCACCAAGAGCTTTGGGCTGAAAGAGGCACCAGTTCAAATCTGAGCTATCAGCTGGGCTTGGGCTCCTATGTTCAGTTTTGTCTCTAGCAGGAGCTGAGTCCTCAACAGAAGACGATGGCTGGCTTCTGGTCCAGTCCTGCATGGTGGCGCCTGCCTAGGGCTGTATATGTGGGTGTATAGGAGGGTGCCAAAGAAAGTACCCGCTGGATGGAGTTGGCAGGCTTTGAGGTTTTTTCCCACATACTTTCAGGAGCACACATGGTTATCAGTTGCATTTCTTACAGGTAAAAGTGTAGTGAAGGGAGCCTCCCCCGGGTTGGGGGAGGACAGTCCAGTACTGTTTAGCAGTTGGCAGTTACAGCTCCCAAGAGGATTCCTGACATGCAGTTTGAGAGTGGATTCGTAAGACAAGGGGTAGTAATCCTTGGCAGCAAGAGAGCCAGAGGAAGGAGCCTGCCCACCTCCTCCCACAGCCGCCATGAGTGCTGCTGGACAGCCTCTCTACCTGTTAGGCAATGGGGTACCTTCTGAGCTCACTAGCAATTCTGTGTTCTAATCATTTCTGTGCTAATTTTGTGCTTTTCTGTGTTAGACCAAAGTTTTGTTGTTGTTGTTGTTAGAGACAGAGATTCCAGTATAACAACTGCCCTTCCCCTACCCTTATGGCCCCCTGAGCTAGAAGAGTACTCTCTCTGGCCCCACCCCTCTTCCCTGACAATAGCTTCACCTCCTTCCCAGCTCTGGGCTTCTGTGCAAGGCAAAGTATACCCCAAAAAGGCCACTTAGAAAGGCAAGCATCTCAAAAGAGAGCCCAGGAAAGCTTTCTGCTGAGAAAAGATCAGCCTCTGTGAGCCAAGCAGGCACAGGAGGAAGGCTGACAGCCTAGTTCTTGGGGCTCCCAGGCTCCTCTGCTTTTGCATGGCTCATAACTGCTGTGTTAATGAGCAGAAAGCATAGGACACTATTGTTGCTTATTGTCTGTGACCTGGTGACCTGGCCACTTGCTGTGGTCACTTCCCACCGGAACAGCTGTTATAGAACTAGACAGACTTCTCACCTTTAGCCCACATTCCCTGCTCTTGCGTCCAACATCACATGTTGCGACTGTCAGCAGCCCAAAATAGAAGAGGTTTCCAGAGGAGAGGCATCATCAATGAAGCCAGGGTTCCTGGCCTTTTCCTGCCCTGACTGTCAAAATGTAGCTCATCAAGCCTGCACAGCCAGCCTGTTCAGCCCCACAGTAAGGAGCACAGAAGCAGATCCACAAGCCCCCGAGGTGGGGTATAGGATTATTTTGTTCCTAGGGTAGAGTTGGTGATTCATAGCTTTAAAAATGGGGAGGCTCTCAGGACCGTGAGATCAATCACACTCAGGTGCAGAGTATGCCGGACTTGCTTGCTTGTTTTGCATTGGAAACAGGGTCTCACTGTGTGCACCAGCTGGCCTCAAAGTCACAGAGCAAGCTGCCTCTACCTCCTAAGTGCTGGCATCAAAAGTGTAGACCACCAGCATGCCCAGCTTTCTTTTTTTTTTTTTTTTTTTAGTCACTGTGTGTGTGTGTGAGTGCAAATGCACAGACCATCTGAGGATAGATGTGGGTGTTAGCCCTTGTCTTCCAACTTGTTGAAGAGAGGTGTCTTGTTCACTGCTGTGCGTGCTACAGGCCTGTGGCATCCAGGTATCCTCTTGACTCCATCTCCCATCCCCCCTTAAGTGCTGTGACTGCAGGCACACAGGCCATGTGTCCGGCTTCCATTCACCAGGTTCTGGAGAGCCACTCAGATCCTCGGATTTGCAAAGGGGAAGTGCTTTGCCCATGAGCTCTCAGCCAGAGCATGAGGCTTCATTAAAAGCTGTCCTGTGTTGCCAGCCTGCTGCTCCCCAGTCACCATTCTCTGCACCTTCTCCTTGTTCTTGGGTATCAGTGTGTGGGTGGGTGTTTTGATTGAGGTGGACTTTGCCCTGCAGAGCCTTTGCCAAGTAAAGGAAAGGAGAATGAGAACCTAAGGAAAAGGACCTGCTCAACTTCCACCCAGCCACTTTTCCAGTCTTGCTTTGAGTTTTCATGCACCCTGCATACAGTCAATTCCAGCTGTCTTCACCCTCTCCCGTGAGCCTAACAGCTGTGGGCAGTCCTGCCTTTCAAGACACCTTTTTCACATTAAACAAGGCCCCTTGGTCCTGGGTTTGTACTCCCCCACCCTGTGAAGCCCCACAGACAAACACACCTGTGGTGCCGCCTCTGTGCCCTGGTACTTAACAGTACAAATGGAAATGTCAAAGTCTTTTCTTTAGAGCCACCACCCACCCCTTGCCTGCAGCTTCTGCCCAGGTCACCCAAGTTGGAGACCTTCCATCTTTTATCAGGTGTTAAGATGCATTTTAAAGTTTTGTTATAAAACTAATTTTCATAGATGCAGGTCACACATGCATTGAACCTAACAGGGTGTGTGGAAGGTCACCCCAGTGCTAGGTGCACTGAGATGGTCACTGTTTCATCTGTCAGAGTGGAATTAGCTCGTGAGTAGTAGATCCAGTCACAGAGGTCTGTGTAGCAAGAAGTCAGACACTCAGGTCAGAGTCCGGAGTGAAGCAGCCCCAGGCTGGACCTGCTCTTTGGAGTCCTGGATTGGGGGCTTACTGTTCTGCCCTTAAAACCATCCCAGTCACCTCCTGGCCTTATGTGGCTGCTCTAAAATCATCTATCCTAGTTACTCAACTGTGGAAAAGACAAAAGGGTCAGCAAATGCCATGTCCCCAATGTCATTTGAGGCTCCCAAAACCGTTACAGGACCCTCTGCTTACAGCTTATTGGCCAGAATTCAGGTACATGGTCACTTGATTCCATAGCCATGAGCCTAGCTGAAAGTGTGGCTGGGGACTCCAAGACATGGGGCTATGGAAGCGTGTGTCTTTGAGTGGGTAGATAGGCTCCTGAACGGACACTTGCTCCGTTAAGGCCTGCCTTCCTCTCTCTTGTCCAGGAAATGAATGGCGTGCTAAAAAACATGCTGTCGGAGTGGTTCTCCTCTGGCTTCCTGAACCTGGAGCGGGTCACCTGGCACTCACCCTGTGAGATACTTCAGAAGATCAGCGAGTGAGTGGGACATCAGGGCCTGCATGGCTTTCATTTCCCCTGCTAACGTGAACACACTGAATGTGTGGGTGCTGGGCTACTCTCACAGGGAGGGTGAAGGTGGGGGTGCCTAATCAGTCTGCTAGTCACCTAAGGTCTCACACCTGCTGTTTTACACCAAAGGTGTAGAGGCATCATGAGGGCTATCTCATGCAGTTGTTGAAATGTCCTCTTGGCATAATCACAACGTGTCCCTGGTACAGTGCAGCACGTGACCTGCTGTCCTACCCACATTCCGCCCTGGCCCAGAGCATCGAAGGCTGGAAAGCATCCTGGGATGTAAACCTTGGTAGTATCCACTGTTCTTCCACACGCTGGCAGCAGCAGCATGTGGGATGAGGCTGGAAACAGGTGCCACCACCAGTGTTGGCAACACAGACATCCACTTCCAACCTGCAGGGAGCCGAAGCAAAGCTGGCGCTGTTCAGTAGCAAGACATCCCAGCAGGTGTCTGGGATGTCTGCAGAAACTGCTGTGCAGGGCACCTGAGAGCTGCAGAAAGTGCTCTGCAAACAGGTGTTGAACTGGGCGGTGCATGCCAGCTCTCCCAGTATTTGGAAGTCTGAGGCAGGAGGATCATCAAAAGTTCAAGGGCAGCCTGGGTTACAGTATCAGCCTAGCCAGGGCTAGTGCAAGACCCTTTCTCAGATAAAACAGACAAACTGGTGTTAAGATGCAGAGCAGGCAGAGCTAACGTGAGTAGGACTCCGCACTCGTCAGTTTCTAATTCTCGCATCCATCTAATCTCCGTTTTGCTTGGTCAGGTGTGAGGCTGTGCACCCTGTGAAAAACTGGATGGACATGAAGCGGCGTGTGGGGCCATACCGGAGATGTTACTTCTTCTCCCACTGCTCTACCCCCGGGGAGCCCCTGGTTGTTCTGCATGTGGCTCTGACCAGGGACATTTCCAACAACATCCAGGTACTTCTGAGTGGTCCTTTCTAGACAAGATGGGCCTTTCACTGTGTCGTGTGGTGTAGTGTGTGCGTCTACACCTGTGTATGGACAGTGAGTGTGTGGAAGTCAGCCTAAAACACTGCAGTGAGCCGGGCATGGTGGTGTACACCTTTAATCCCAGAGGCAGGCAGATCTCTGCAAATTCAAGGCCAGCTCGGTCTACATAGTGGTTCCAGGACAGCAAGGGCTACACAGAGAAACCCTTTTTCAAACAAAACAGAAAAATCCTACACATTTACTAAAATCTGAGAGCCAATAATACGAGTGTCAGCTAAGAGACCTCACAGCAGAAGTCATTTCTTAGCTTGCTTTTTGGCGGTGAATGGGTTTTCATTTAGGAAAGAGAAGAATGCTGGCATGGGACTAAAGAGGTCATAGAAAATCCGTTAAAGCAGCGAGAAAAAAAAACTTATCCTGGGCTGCCTGTGGTGTTCTGGAACAGAAGTGTGAGCTGAGCAAAGAAATAGAGTGGGCAGGGAAGTGGGCTCTTGAAGAAAATTTAAAGAGATCCCATGTATAGGCACTGCCCTCAACAAAGGCTCAGTATGTGGAGCAGCTGATTCCAGAGGGGCGTGGAAAGACCTGAGGTGCTGCTGTTGAGCAGAGCTGGCATGGGGTCTCCAGATGATGCGAAATTGTCACCCGTTTTCAAACAGATGGCCTGAACATGAGCTGGGAGCGGGTGGCGTGGGAGTGCGGTAGGGGCTAAGTTCCCCTGCAGTACTTTGGCTCCACAGAATTTGTGAATAGTGGCAGGGTGACGTGGTGTGCGAAGCGCACGTGGAGCCTTTCTGAAGCATGCTGTTGGTGTTTTCCAGGGGATTGTGAAGGAGTGCCCTCCATCTGAAACAGAGGAGAGGAACAGGATTGCTTCTGCCATCTTCTACTCCATCAGTCTGACCCAGCAGGGCCTGCAGGGCGTGGAGCTCGGGACCTTCCTCATAAAGCGAGTGGTCAAGGAGCTGCAGGTAAGCATGGTGGAGCAGTACCCCACCTCACAGTCATGATGGCAGGTGATTCCTGCCACCTCTCTGCACACACGGGATCCAGATAGGAAGGACTGGAAGGAAGAGGAGGCAGAACAGCATCAGGTGCTGGTGGGCCAGGCCAGGACCCAAAAGAGCAGGTGTCTGAAGCATATCATCTCACTGGCTGTGCAGCATGCGTATGTCATGAGGCTGTGAGCTCTCTAGAGAGCCCTTGCCTGTTTTGCCCTGAACTCCTGGTGCCACACATCTAGGCTCACATGTCAACATGGCCCCTTATCACTCAGTCCATATAGCACAGCTGACAGTCCTCCCTGCCATGCTATCCAGGCCCTCCTTCCCTGCAGCCTTCAGGGCCTTGTGAGGGGAATTTCCAGGTTAGACCAGGCAACATGAAGGTAAATCATTAGCTTGTGTTGGTCTGATTCCCTTTCTTTGCTGCCTGGGAGGGGCAGTGTCTTAGTTAGGGTTTTATTGCTGTGAAGAGGCACAATGACCACGGTAGCACCCTTTTTAAACTCTAATTTATTTGGGATTTCTTAAAGTCTCTCCCTTTCAATCCCCCAACCCTGAGTAGGAGAGAGAAGGTCATAGTGGGGAGAGGGGGTGCAGACCCTTTACTTCTCCCAGCTGTTTAGGGTCAGTGGGTTCTTTTAGGGCTATACCAGTCTCTGTCAACAGCAAACCAAACGCAGCTAGCAGTCTCCTCCAAGCCACTGTGCCCTGAAGCGTCTCCAAACTGCCACACTGTCCTCTGCTCTCTCCAAACTGCCACTCGCCACCACCGCACACCATACCTTCTCTTTTAGGGCTGGACTTTCATATTTATATCTTCAGAACCCTAGACCACGCCCCTCTCCTTGCCACACGAGGCAGGCTGTTACCAGCTATCAAAGGCCACGCCCCACAGGAGACACTTATCCACTGTGGACAAACTAAAGCCCAGCTAAAATCCCACACTTGGAATTAAAACCAAAGCGTACTTACATAATGTAAATCAGTTTACAAAGAAAGCAAAACTTTCATTACACCACAGCAATTCTAATAAAGGAAAACATTTGATTGGGGGTGGCTTACAGTTCAGAGGTCAGTCCATTATCATCATGGTGGGAAGCATGGCAGCAGGGAGGCAGACTTGGTGCTGGAGAAGGACCTCAGAGTTCTACATCCTGATCTGAAGGCAGCAGAGGCAGCTGTCACAATGGGCTGTAGCTTGAGCATCTGAGACCGCAAAGCCATCTCTACAGTTCCTCCAGCAAGGCCACACCTATTCCAACGAGGCCACACCTCCTAATAGTGCTACTTCCTGTGGGCCAAGCATTCAAATAGATGAGTCTTGGGGAGTGGGGAGGCTTGTTACTCAAACCACCACTGACACATTATGTGTCCTAAGACAAATGCGGCAGTTACTTGCCCTGGGCACAGCTTTTCCAGCTGCCCCATGGGGTGCCTGCCAGGTGGCCACAGTGAGGAGTCGAATTCTGGGCTGCTGACAGGGCTTGTACACCAGCTGCTCCCTGCCCCCTACCTTTTCTGCTCAGGCACAGTACACAGTGGCAGTGACCTCACGGCAGCCAAGTGCAGTCGGAGCGCTTCCATGTTTGTGTTGTGCTGCCTTATACTAGGAGTTGGGTTTGATCACCTAAGACCAGCAGTCTGTTACTGAGCTACAGCCACAGTCTCTGTGTGCCCCTCCTCCTGTTTTAACGTGTTATTTTGAGACAGAGTCTCAGAGTTTTTCAGGCTAGCTTTGAACGCACAACATTCCCTTCTCAGCCTAAGGCTTGTGCTAACATGGCAGGAATTAGATTTGGAGAATGTGGTGTCCTGGGAATCTGCTTTAACATCATTCTTCCTCAATGCCCCAGAGGCAGCAGAAGCACACCCCTCTCCCTTTTCCCTGCTGAAGTGTTGAAGAGAGCTGCGGGGAGAGGGGGCACAAGACTAGGAAGACAGGGAGAGCAGGATACAGGGTCTGGGTGAATCATAGCCTGGGCAGAGCTAAGAGTCACTTGGCCATTTCCTGGCACTTGCTTATGCACCAGAAAGTCCTGAGTGGCCTCTCCTGGAGGCTGGCAGCGCTGTTCTGCCCCAACGGGCTCAGCAGGGCTTACAGAGGTAGCACTCTTGAAAGCCTGAGGGCCAGTGGGAGCCCACTGGCTGTTCCTTTTGTACTGGTCTGTTGGTTTTAAATGGTAAATAAAACATGTACACGGCGTAAACTCACATACAGATGTACAGCAGAGACCTCAGCTGTGGAAGAGCTGCAGAAAAAGACCAAAGGTGCCATGGCATGCCAGATTTAGAGCTGTGTTCTCACAGTAGTGGGATTTATTTTCCCACAGTGGGCTTACTGTGTTTAAAGCCAGGGAGTGCTCATGTGTGAAGACCATTCGTGAGATCTCTATGTAACTTGTGTGGTGGTGATTAAGCTATGCCCTATGTTAAGACATTTTGCCTGGCCCTGCTGTCTGTCCTCTCTGCCACCACTGAGGTGGAGCTGGACAGCCGAATCACTGGGCATCTGTATGTCAAGCAAGCATCAGGACGTGGGTCTGGGCCACTGGAACAGTCCTAGGAGATGTGTGGTACAGAGAGAAAGAAAAGGCCACATCCTGTCACAAGAGCCAACCCTCTGGTTTTAAGCAAGCCTCCCACTCTTGATCTGTTTCACCATTGTGACAATGGTGTGGCTGCAGATTGCATGGCTGTGGGCTGATCTTGGGAATGCAAGATGCCTCCAGGCCTTGGCACTCACCAGAGTCCTCATGAATATGGTTTGAAAGAAAGTACAGCAATGCCGTCAGCTGGCCCTGCTGGCCTGCAGCAGCGCACATGGGCTGTGTGTTGAGTGTTCCTGTGTGTGAACCATCCTGCTGACCATGTGTTCTCTGCCTTCCCTCCTTCACCTACCTGCTATGCAGAAGGAGTTTCCTCACCTGGAGGCCTTCTCAAGCCTGTCACCTATACCTGGATTCACCAAGTGGCTTCTAGGCCTTCTGAACATGCAGGGAAAGGAGCATGGGAGGAACGAGCTATTCACAGACTCAGAGTGCAAGGAAATCTCAGAGGTTACAGGTGACCCAGTTCACGAGAGCCTCAAGGGCTTCCTGAGCAGTGGTGAGTGGGTGAAGTCGGAGAAGCTGGTGCAGGCGCTGCAAGGGCCACTGATGAGGCTGTGTGCTTGGTACCTGTACGGTGAGAAGCACCGAGGCTATGCCCTCAACCCAGTGGCCAACTTTCATTTGCAGAATGGGGCCGTGATATGGCGCATCAACTGGATGGCTGACAGCAGCCTGAAAGGCCTCACCAGCTCTTGTGGCCTCATGGTCAACTACCGCTACTACCTGGAGGAGACAGTTCCCAACAGCATCACCTACCTAGGCTCCAAGAACATCAAAGCTTCTGAGCAGGTCCTCAGCCTGGTGGCCCAGTTCCAGAAGAACAGCAAACTCTAGGGACAGCCTTCGCAAAGCCCAGGCCCCTGCTCAGAAAGGGGCTGTGCTCTGACGCACCAGGTTACTCACCCCAGGGGCCTTTTCAGGGAAGCCACAGCTGTGCTGTGTCCCCTGTCCTCAACAGGCACTTAGGAGGCCACGCCTAAGCTGTCACTGTGCTGGTCGACTCACTGCTTGGAGGAGGAGGTGGTGTGGCTACGCGTGCCCTGGGGATAGCACTGTGATCTTCCAGAAGCCCTGCTGCTGCCCTGTAACCTGTGCCTTCAGGAGGCTCCACGGCCTCAACCATAGGCCGCCCAGGCGGAGCCCAAAGCGCGGACCCCTTGGAGCTCGCCAGGCTGGCAGGCACGTCCTCTGTATGTAGCGAGGTGGTAAGGTCGGTGCTGTGCCTGCTGCCACAGCTTGAAGTGCAGACTAGGGAGGGTTTGTGACGTGCACAGGGCGTAGTCGACACTGCGTGGATGTTGCTGCTTGAGGCCAGAGTTGGCTTATAAGGCTTACATGAGATTCCAGTTCATAATGAACTGAAGAGTAAAGAACAGGTTGTTCTGTAAACATTAAACATGATCATTCACTGTATACTCTTCTTCAGTTGTACTTCACTGTGTACTTTTCTTCAAGATTAAAGTCCTGGCAAGGCTCGGGATCAGCTCTAAAATGTCCAGTGTCATGTCGCAGCCAGCCCATTGGGAACAGTGTGGATGAGAACAGATGTTCAGGTTGAAGAGCGGAGAAGTGTGTGTGTGTGTGTGTGTGTGTGTGTGTGTGTGTGTGTGTGTGTGTACGTGTACATCTGCATACATCTACATGGCTGTGAGAAGGGCCATGATACACTTGGATTGTGTTGGCATGTGTGCTTGTAGCTGGGTGTGTGTGTGAATGTATGTGTATGCATGTACATTCATACATGTGCATCTGTGGGCATAGCGCACATCAGCAGGCACAGTGCCACTGCTCTCAGCTGGACATACATGTCCCCTCACTTTGCCTGATGGCATCTTCTAGACCTTCCCAGATTGGCCTCCCTAGATTGACCGACTCCACAGCCCCAGGCTCAACATTGGCCTAGGTGAAATGTCAACAGAAAATAGCTCTTACCTCCAAGGGTGAGAATTAAAGACAGTTTATACTTGAGCTACATGTAAGTGGCCATGGCCCAAGGAATACTGCCTCAGGTTGCCTGAAAAGACAGCGCTGCCAATGAAAGTGTTTCTGTGTGAATTTATTATAGAGCCAAGTCATAAAGCATTTACCAAACAAGTTCTGTCAGTGCAGGAAACCTCCTAAAGATTGTCCAGGTCCTGATGCCATTCTTGCCTTTTTGATTGGTGGGCACTAAGTGGTTTGACACAAAGCATTGTAGGGCCAGCAAGACAACTTGGGAGCACCAAGCCTGATGAACCCAGGACCCACCTAGTAGAAAAGAATCAGCATCCACACATTTTTGACGTCCACGTTTTTTTCCATGGCACTCACAAAAAAAGAAATAACAATAAAAATATATTTCTTAACATGTTTTAAAGGTTTTGACAGTAACAAAGTTACCAGGTCAAACCCAGGAGTTGCTAAGTAAGTCAGACGAAAGGCAAGGATAATTTGACTCTGGTCTGCAACTTTTCCAACTTTCCACAATTGGGAAGTCCAGCCGCTCTGCCTTATTAAGTCTTCAACACTGTGTGGCTTTTCTTGGTTTGGCTTCAGCCTACAGAACCTGGCCAGCTGTAACATCAGGTCTCCCTGCAGAGGGCTCTTGGGAGCAGCTGAGAGTACAGGCTAGGTAGGGTCACCGTTACCCAGCTAGAGGAAGGGAGTGGCTGAGGCAGGGACATCTTCAAGATGTAGCCCTTGCCTCAGCTCTGTGCAGTACCCTGCACTGAAGGTACCCTCACGCCGCCCAGCTCTCCACCTCAGCTTGCAGCCAACCCTCAAAGTGTGACACAAAGCCTCTTCCACCCTGGTCGCCACCTGCTGCCTTCACTCCGGTAACTGCCCAAACCAGCTGCTGCTTCCCTTTGCTGTGTATTCTTGGTACTGGTGTCATCCAGCCCATTCAGATCCTGCCATGACCCGAAGCCTGACCCTGGATGCCAGCCCCCCCTCCAGCAACTCTGGGGCTCCAGTCCTTAGTCAGACCTGTCACAGGAAGCTCTTGTCGATACAAAAGGGAAATTAAAAAGACCTCTCAGTCGTCCCACTTCCCTTCCCACACCCACCAGATATTTTGTGGTGGAAAAATAGGGCCTCCACACTGCCACTTCCATCCTGAGTGATGTTCCTGGTAGCTCCCTCCAGGGCTTTGGGGGATCTAAGTGAAATAAGGGAGTGGAATTAACAGAGCACCTGTAGATAGCTCAGGCCCCCTCTCAAACTGACTTCATAGTAGATGCTATTCATCCCATTGCCACCGGATGGCTCTGCTGAGGTTTGCCTGCCTTTTTCCACAAGAGTGGGGTTTTGGTTTGAGCTGCTCCCTTGCATGCAAAAACAATCTACCCAGAGCCACATCTGCCCACACAGACCTTGAACTTGAGCCCTGGCTCACAACCAACTCCAGGTTCCCAGAACTGAGCTAATGAGAGGCACAGAGCTGGGGAGGGATGTGGAGCTGGGTGGGATGCGAAGCTGAACAGGACCACAGAACTGTGGGGAAGCAGAGATTAGGGGTGCATGGAGCTGGGGGTACACATAGTCATAGGGGAACAGAGCTGGGGACATGGAACTGCCACTTCCCCTCCACCCCAGAGTTCCCTGGCTCTTCTAGGCCTGGTCTCCCTCCTCTCCCTTCCATGGGTCTCATTCAGGCTGACTGAACAGGGGGTTCAGGCCTGAGCCTGGACCACAGACCCAAATCCCAGTGCTCTAATAGCCAAGTTCCAGGCATCAGCCCTTGGGTGGTCATTGTTAGAATTTTCATATCACCACTGTGCACAAGGATTAAGTATTTTGTGTCCTTGAATACAATCAAAGACTAAAAATTAGGTGATTAAAAACAATAGCATTAATGAATTCTTATAGCTGCTTTTTCTCTCAGGGGTGGAAAATGAAGAACTTGGCTCGGTGGCTATAGTGACTGCCATGCAGGCATGAGGAATTTGGATTCCCAGGACCCACATAAAAATGGGACATGATGATACACACTTGTAACCCTAGCACAGGGGAGGCAGAGACCCCAGGATTCCCTGGCACCTGTCTAGCCAGTCAGTAAGCTCTGACTTCAGAGAGACCTCAAAAGAGAAAGTGGAGGGCAATAGTTAAAGACCCTCGTCAACCTCTGGCCTCTCCAAGTGTGATGTGTCACTCCACACATACAAGAGCAGGGGAAGTACACACATTAGAAAACACACAAAGCATTACAAAGTGGCCACGCCAAGCCTGAGCAGCCCTGGAATCTTAGTTTGTGAAATGGAGGGCTGAAGTCTGTAGGTTGTGGTACCACCAACAGAGGCAGACCCTGCTCCAGAGTGGAAGGGGTGGAAGGCTACGCATGCTCAAGAGGAAGTGCACCTGTGGCCAGCAGGACCCTTGGCAGGAGCCCAGAAGATCCAGCACAGAGCAGAGCGTCCCGCCCCTGTGCCTTGTGGATGATGTGTGCCTGCACTTTTTTTTATCTCAGCCAGATCTCACTGGCCTCCAAGGAGCCTTTGGACAAAGCCAGGTCAGCTATCTATAAATCTTGCAACCTGTGGAAGTACATCACAGCCTGGCCCAGGGTTGCAGCGTAGTGGTTTTAAAGGAGACTGGACTGTATTTATTAGAACTCTACCATGGATCTTGTTGTATTACTTCTCCCATGGAGTCCATTAAAAAAAAAAATGTTTTAATGAGTCAGGAGCAAGAATTTCAGAGCAATTCATATCTGCCATCTCCTTTCATGTTTGATGTGTTTTTTGTTTTTTATTACATTTGTTTTTCTATTTATGCATGTGTGAGTGTTCGAATGCTATGGCATTCGTGTAGAGGTCAGGAGACAACTTGCAGGAGTCAGTTGTTGGAACCGCTCTAAGACTTTAATATGTATGAAAAAATGCCTAGACCATAAGCTTCGGCTCGTTTCCCATTGAGCTCATAACTTACATTACCCATATATTCTGTTCCGTGCGCGCCCCTGGCTGGTTACCTCTCCTCGGTTTCATACGTCCATCTTCCTCAGAGTGTGGCGGGGGGGGGGGGGCAGTGGGGGGTCTCCCCTCTGTCTCTATCCCAGAGTTCCTCACTTTGGCATCAGCTGCCTTTACAGGCTGAACCATCTTGTGAGCCCTGGTGTGTTTTCTTCTGCCCATCTTTTTGTGCGCTTTTTCTGGTACACCCTACACCTACAGGAGAAATTTTGCAGGAAGGAACATTAGTTAAGTCCTTATTTACCTTTTACTTATTTAAAGTCAGCTGGCCAATGTCATTGTCCCTGAAATGTTTAAATTTGCCTTTTGGAACTTACAATACCTTTTGTAATAGAAACGATGGTAGTACAGATGAAGACCTGCTTCCTACGCCAGCCTGAAAGCCTTAAAAAAAAAAAAAAAAACAACAATAGGCCTTTCAATAGCATATAGAACAGAGGTTCATTTATTCTATGAGCCATTTTCTAGAAAGTATGCATACAAGAGCTGAGGTCACCCAGTTGAATATTCTTTCCCCATGTGGCCAGAGCTGGGCACAGGGTGGATTTCCAAGTAATGCTTATTGTCATGGGGATGAACGATTGGTCTTCCTCGTGGAAGTTTACAACTAGTTAGACATTGTAAGGTATATGTATTCAGGGAGCGAGCACACGCAGCTACCTAACAGTGTGTTCCACGTGGGTCCTTAGAGATCAGGACTCATGACTAAGAGGAGCAAAACCTGCATAAGGAAGCTATTTTTTCCTAACCTCTAAATGGAAAAAAAAAAAAAAAAGCATTTTCTGCAATTATGAAGAAAATGTGACAAAAAAGGTTTTAATTACATTTTTAGTTATTGGGAGGGGGTGCAAAGCACAAATATGGGGCCAGAGGACACCTTGTGGAAGTCAGTTCTCTCCTTCTACCATGCAGGGCCCCCAGGATTGAACTCAGGTCATCTGATGTGGAAGCAGGAGTCTTCAGCCACTGAGCCATCTTGCCAGCCTCTGCCTTTCTTCTTCTCCCGGGACAGAGACCACAAGGGGCAGAGAGAGACTCCATCCACAGCCAGCTCCTCTGTGAAGCACCGAGTTTATCGCTGTTACTCTTGGGAGCATAGGTGTGTTACAGGAGCCACCAAAAGGATTACCTGAGCCAGGCATGACCTGCTCCCCATCCCACTTCTTGGGGCAGTGCTCAGGCTGGTGACAGGTACTTCTGAGTCCTGTTGGTACCAGTTCTGGAGGGAACTGAGTTCTAGCCTCTTTCACAGCCCCATTCCTGGAGAATAGTCACCCCCATCGGGGCTGAAAGACAGGCACAGCCTGAGCAGCCCATTTTCAGTGGGCTTGCCATGTCGGGGTGATGCTCATTCACCCCAGTGTGTTCCTTCCCCTAGCCAGCTGTACTCCTGACCTCCTGACCTCCAGCATATCCTCCTAGAACATGTCCCTTTTGCTTACTGCAAATCTAAAGAGTCCT